TCATCTGAGCTCGCTTCAAGTTATCAATATCTATCTTGTTGGCGATACCATGGCTTCAGATGATCCCACCAGCCAAGCACTTCTACATGATACGCCACGCCAGCGTCTCAAGGTGGGCCTCGATACATCTATATCTGAACTCCTGTCTTGCTACGGAGAAAGCACATCCACTTCCCAAAAACTCTCAGACAGTATTACGATCTCGACTTGACGAAACTCGACACTCTAACCTTGTTTTTCCAGCAAATCCTCCCCCAAACCACAGGTATCCCACGATTGTGAATCCATGGCTCATTTATGGTTGTACTATTACGAGAGGAGAAACCCCATCGATATTGAAAGCATGCGCTGCAGGTTCAGGCCGTGGATCCCGGTTTCTCCAATCCGCGAAGTTAGTATGCGGAGCGTGACAAGCCACCGAAAGAATTATCTTATGAAACATCCTCTGGTGCTGGTGTTGTGCAAGAAGCAAAGAAAAGACGTGAGAAACTAGAGGGGGTTTTCGGACGACTTGGTTTCAGTAAATAGGTGGCGTTGGTAATTTCCTTTTGGGCGCCGTTGGAGGCGTTGAATGGTGCGGCGCTTAGTTTGTTTAGTGAGACACAAAAGGGGTTTCTATTCCGCCTGGGTGGTATTGTAATTTAGCGCTTATACTCTCTTGGTTTCAGTTATTGTGGAGGTCACTGTACTCTATATAGGGATGTATAATTGGTTAGAAGGAACAAGGATGAAGCTTTCTTGGGCACTCGAGAGGCAGCTTGGGGGCCAGTCTTAGGAATCAATATTGGGGCCAGAATTATAGTCATGACCATGACTACGCCTCGCGTTTTGTTCAACCGCCGCCAATTGTTTTATACTTAGATGTGAAGTTAAGCCGCTAATATCATGAGATACAGGCTTAGCCTCGGACCCGAGCACTGTGATCATTCAGGAATTATCTTTCTAAACGGTGGATATTTGAAATACGAGAGGGTAGAAGAAATGTTGTCATTTGCCAAGATGCTTAACCCAACCTGTTTAGGGTGTAGTGTGCTTACCAACCTCATGAATAGTCGAGATGTTTCTAATGCGAAGCTGTCGACCTCGGGACAATGACTGGATTTGTCATATGATGAACATTTGATGTACAAAAGCACAGGCACACTTGGTGTTCTAAAAAATAAAACTATCCACTCCATTTACAACGTTGATCTTCCCCAGTGATCCTTGACCAAAAACGTTCAACTTCTACGATTCTTCAGAATGACCCTCAAATACCTCATTACAGGAGCGACGGGCGGCCTCGGCGCAGGAGTCCTATACTACCTAGCTGCGAATGTCCCGGCATCAGAGTATGCCGCAGCGTCCTCGAAAGAGGAAAACCGCAAACAATTCGAAGATCAGGGGATCGCATTCCGAGTAGCGAGCTATGACAACCCAGAGACATTAGAGACCGCATTCGAAGACGTGGAGAACCTCTTCTTCGTTAGCACCAACACCTTCGACATCGAGAAGCGGCGCAAGCAACACGAAAACTTTGTAATTGCAGCGAAGAAGATGAACGTGAAACACGCAAGTCATCAAATTCCTCACACAACTAGCCCAGCTAACATGGAAGCCGCAGATATGGTATACATCTCTCGCATTCGGTGGATACACTTCCGACTCCAAGGCGGCTGTCCAACAAGGCCACCTGATGACAGAGGAAATGATGAAAGCGTAAGCCACGCCCCCCGACCGTGATAATCCACCCAGCCCTACTAACACCAGCCAGGTCTGGTATCAACTTTACCTCCATCCGTGAGGGGTTGTACACAGACGCCTTCCCAGTTTTTATGGGCTGGTATCCAAGCACATCGACCGTCTACCTCCCCTCCGACGGGCCGATTGCCTTTACACTGCGGTCGGAGCTAGGCGAGGCGAATGCGCGATTGATGATTCAGGGCGGACACGATCGAGAGATCGTGCTGCTCACTGCACAGCAGACTATCACATTCTCTGAGATCGTGGATCTGATCAACGAGACGACCAACCGAGATGTTCAGTTCAAGCTTGTCTCGCCGGAGGAGTTTGTGCGGTTGAAAGCGGCCGATGACGAGGGTGGGAAGCCGGAAGGGTTCTTCCAGGCGCTGTTGTCGTGGTACGAGAGTATTTCAAAGGGGGAGACGTGCACGATTGATCCGCTCATGGCCGAGGTGCTGGGCCGTCAACCCGTGCCGCCGCGTGAGGCTATTCGGACCTTTTTGACCGAGAATCGGGACTATGAATGGCATCAGAACTATGTTAATCGCGCTTAGTTGTATAGTTAGTGGTTAACTGTAATAGTCGAATATGAAGTGGTAATGTGACAATGTGACAGTTTCGAATGACATGTGAGTCGACCGGAGTAGCCGTTATCCCGTCTCGGCAACCAAACCGGGAGTTGGCCTTATAGCCTGAGGCACCTGATTTTGTGGGTTTTGACTGGGGAAATCACTGATCAATGGAGGCTTGGAGTAGATAAGATGGGAAGATTGATATATTTTATCAATCATCTCCCATAGACATTTCCCATTGACCCATATTCAACATATATAAATGATCATGTCGGAGTGTAGTATCGGCAGTAGACAATTCCCTGAATCTCCTTGACGCCGTGTCCGCCCGAGGCTTGTAAACACCTTGGATGTGATTGGCTGAGACTCGCTGATGTCAGCATCTACACACCCGACCCGTCAAACCCGAGGTTACTAGCGAAGACACTCCTTGGACTTCATTTCGTTGTTGAGGATCTTTGTTGGTTTGTGAAACTCGACTTCGTCGTCGCTACCTTCACATTTTTGAAAACTCTCCCCTCTTATTTTGTATTTCTGGTATCCACCTCATTCTCTCTACACTCTCCATCCTCTCTTTCCTTTCCACCTCGGTGTTTTTCTCATTTCCGATCACCCGTCATGGCCTCCCTCCGTACCACTTCGCGATTGTTCGCGGCATCGCGGCCGATGTTCCGCCCTGCCTTTGCTCGCACCTACGCGACCGTCGAGCCTACTCCCTCCGAGCAGCCCAAGATGAAAACTTTCAAGGTCTACCGTTGGAACCCGGACCAGCCCAGCGAGAAGCCTCAGATGCAGTCCTACGACCTCGATTTGAACAAGACCGGACCCATGATGCTCGATGCGCTTATCCGGATAAAGAACGAACTCGACCCTACCCTCACTTTCCGCAGATCTTGCCGTGAGGGTATTTGCGGTTCTTGCGCCATGAACATCGACGGTGTGAACACTCTCGCCTGCTTGTGTATGTACCCGGACCTGCAGACGCGCAATCTCGAAGCATCCGACAGCTCCCGAATGAAAACTAATCCCTAGTTCGTACAGGCCGCATTCCCACCGAAACCAAGTCCGAGTCTCGCATCTACCCTTTGCCTCACACCTATGTCGTCAAGGATCTTGTCCCTGATATGACCCACTTCTACAAGCAATACAAGTCCATCAAGCCATATCTCCAGCGCGACACTCCCACGGAAGACGTGAGTTCTTTTATATACCAACATTACCTACAATAACTAACAATTACCAGGGCCTCGAATTCCGTCAATCCCCCGAGGATCGCAAGAAGCTCGACGGTCTCTACGAATGTATTCTCTGCGCCTGCTGCTCAACCTCCTGCCCATCGTACTGGTGGAACAGTGAGGAGTACCTTGGACCCGCTATCCTCCTCCAGTCCTTCCGTTGGTTGGCCGATTCCCGTGACGAGAAGACCGCTGAGCGCAAGGCCGCTCTCGACAACAGCATGAGCGTCTACCGTTGCCACACCATTCTCAACTGCACACGGACTTGCCCCAAGGGTCTTAACCCAGGTCGCGCAATTGCCGAGATCAAAAAGATGTTGGCTGTCTAGATATGTTGATATAAAACGGAGTACTGCGGAATTTTCTTTTTCTGTCCAATGCCTTTCCAGTCGTCTATCCTCTGTTTCTCTATTTCCTATTTCCTATTTTCTTTTACTTTTTTTTCCCGACTACTTCACACATGTTTCTATAGGTGTAAATTGTGAACGTTTGTTTCTTACAGGAATGCACTGGTAGTCCATTCGACTGCATGATGATAGCGCAACCTACACCTTTGTATTGTATCAATCTCTCAATCTAGATGTCTGATATTTCCATCTATATCCATATATATAACTGAAATCTATGGCCAACAACATATCTCCCTGACACATGCTAAGCGAATCCCAGTACACCTATCCCCGTCTGGGCTAGGCTCATTCGGCTAAGACCACTAGCACGCTAAAAGAAGGCCACCTGGGCACTGCCTCCACAAATCGTACTAGAGTCTTGAGCGATACTCAACTGGGCTGTTAGCACAGTTGGTAGTGCGCCCGCTTCGCATTATTGCGAGCGTGCGGGAGGTCCTGGTTTCGATTACCAGATAGTCCACTTTGTCTTTCTTTTTTTTGGCTCAATTCCCTACATCTTTCTTGGTTTTATTTGCTTTGTCCTCTTGCCGGCTGCAGCTAAAAACAAGTTATGAATCCAACACCAAACACCGGGATTCATTGGATCGTTACAGCGGCCGGCTCGCACGGAGGTGGGTATATCAGCCCAGTTATCGGCCGTGCAGCTGTACCTTGTCATCCACATATCACATCCTTTCAAACCAGGGGGGTCATTGTTCCCGGCGGTGATAAACAAGGAGGATTATGTTCGACCCAACCCTAGTGTTTGATGCGTCTGCGTCTGCACGGTGGGCGAGGTTGCATAGTACTCAACGAATGATAGCTACATACAGCGCCTTAGCGGGCCCTCGAGACGTCATAATATCCAAATATGGCTCCATTATCTAAATAAGCATGTTGAATCAGGAAAGAGACGATTTGTACACTAACTTTGTATTATGCACTATCTATGCACTACCGACCTCGTGGGGTTGGCTCTGTTTTATTTTTTTTTTCAATCTGAACCCTTGTCCTGGCCCCTTCTATAAGACATGGCCGCCCACCGCTACTCTTCCTCGCTGTAGTTAGCAAGTTCTTCTATAATGGATTCTCTGACACTATGCGTGTCTGTGTTGTCGTTGCCGTTAGGACTGCTGGTCCTGCGCACTGTGTACCATTTGTACTTCCACCCGTTGTCCAACTTCCCCGGTCCAAAACTCGCTGCTGCGACCTTTCTATATGAGTTCTATTACGATGTCGTCAAAAGCGGCATGTACATCTGGGAGATTGAGCGCATGCACGAGAAATATGGTAAGTATATAGATTCTAGATTAACATCAACTATCCAAGCCAGCAAAAATATACACAAATGCAAAAGTGACTAATAAACTAGGCCCAATCGTGCGAATCAACCCACGAGAAGTCCACATCAAAGACCCAAGCTACTACGACGAAATTCACGCCGGCGCCTCACACAAACGCTCCAAAGACTCCAAATACGCCATCGCCTTCGGCGCGCCAAACTCCCTCGTAGGAACAATAACTCAAGACCATCACCGCTTCCGTCGCGGCCTGTTGAGTAACTACTTCTCCAAGCGCTCGGTGGTGAACCTTGGTCCATCCATCCACGACAAAGTCGACAAGCTGATCGCGCGCTTCGAGCAAGCCCACCAAACCAACGACGTGCTGCAACTGCAACTAGACTTCGCGGCGCTGACTGCAGATGTCATTACCGATTACTGCTACGGCTGGAGCTATGGCTATCTGGACGGCGAGAAGGGGTCGCGGAGCAACGACCTTGTCGACGCGGTTAATGGGCTGATGGTTATGTTCCACATTAACCGGTTCTTCCCGTTCCTTATTTCTGTTTTTAGGAATGCGCCGCCTAACCTGTTGCGCTGGCTCCAGCCGCAGATGGCTGATTTGTTTGATTTGAAGGCTAGACTTCGACAACAGGCGGATGATACTTTGCAGAAACAGGCTCTGCAGAAAATTGATTCTGAGGGGAGGTCGACTATATTTGATGCGTTGACGAGTTTGGAGTTGCCTGAGAATGAGAGGACGCTTGATCGTCTAGAGGATGAATCTGCGCTGTTACTTGGTGCTGGTACCGAGACTACGGCTAGGTCTATTACCGTTGCAATGTTTTATCTCATCCACAACAAGGAGGTTCTGGCGAAGCTGCGCGCGGAGTTGAAGACTGTGTTGGTGACACCGTTGTCTAAGGCTTCCTGGGTGGATTTGGAGAAATTGCCATACTTGGTGGGACATCGTTTCTAAGTCCTTTCTTACTTCCATTGTGGATTGCTGATTTTGTCGTTCGCTGGATTAGACGGGTGTTGTCAATGAAGGTCTGCGTCTCAGCCACGGCATGACAGCCCGACTGGCTCGTGTTTCACCGACCGAACCCATGCTCTACAAGGATTGGGTTATCCCTGCAGGGGTAGGTTTATGGCTTTCCGGTTGTAACATTCCGGTTCGGTCCCCTCTTTCCTAGAGAAAGTTTCTGATATTTGTTGTATTACAGACTCCGGTCAGTCAGTCGAACTACTTCGTCCATATGGATCCCACACTCTTCCCTGAGCCAGAGAAATTCGACCCGGAGCGTTGGATCCGCGCTGCAGATAAGGGAGAGTATCTGAGTCGGTACATTGTCTCGTTTACCAAGGGAAGCAGACAATGCCTGGGGATGAAGTGAGTTATGCATCACACAGGATTTCATATAGTTACTGACTTCATCTAGCCTTGCCTATGCAGAGATCTACTTATCTCTGGCACATATCGCTCGTCGCGTCAACTTTGCGCTATACGAGACTACTACCGATAACATCTGTGTTTATCGTGATATGGGCATTGGGTGTCCAGAGGTCGGTTTGTTTGGTGTGAAGGCCACAGTGGAGGGTCTTGTGGAGGAGTAGGGTTGTTACTATAGGTTGTGTAAGTTTTCTCTGTGGGGATGATGAGTATGATGAGGTATAAGAGTGGACCTTGTACTTTCGTCTATTTCAAGGATCTTCTGCGGTGCTTTTTAACGTGCGTATTGCATATGCAGGTAACCATGTTGTGGGGTATGTTTCACTTGATGTGTACTACACGGCTGGATGATGACGGATATTTTATTCTGGTGGTTATTAGATACTTCAATTGCCTAATGAACGCACTTCCGATGATATTTATTGTGTGTCGAGCTGGTACTGTTTGCGTTAAGTGAAGATTTTGGTATTTGTTGTATATATCTAAAGATGGAGTAAGTGTAGGTTGGTTGTACCTACCTTGGAAAATATCAGTTACACCTCTTTAATTCGGAAGAATCATGGGAGATCTGATTCTTCTAAATCACAAAAATTAGAATGACTTACAAAATACATATAGTGAAATAGTGAGAGATAACTAACTAATGACTAGTCCCAACTAGAAAGGCTTGGTATTGTGACCTATCCATTATTATGTAACCATGATCATCCACCTGGGCAGTGGACCTGAGCAGGCAGCCCATACGAATTGGAAGAACGAGGTACAAATTAATAAGGTGGGATTGTACTAGCGACCGTTATTGAACGGTTTATTTATAGTAGGCTTGTATATTTATATTAAATTAAACTGTTTATTAAAACTTTATCTTTATGTCTACCGCTTTTTTTGGACTATTTCAAAATTCCTGTTCAAAAACGAATTATATATATACTACAAAGTTTCCAAAGTATACCTATTTGTTAGGTGCTATATATATACTATGGTTATAACGCTGTTGACTTCTATCTATCCCCTAATATAGCTCTTATACAAATACAGAAATATTCCTTATATAATGTACATCGTAGTGCTATGTAAAATTTTAGCCAGACACGATGGAGAGCCCACTGGTCGAACCGATGCCAAGAAAAACAATGCCTTCATTATGTTCACCCATATTTCATATTAGAAATTCTAGCCCATTATACGGAATATTTTAAAGGACATTAGTTGATTCACTCGTAATACCTACATCGGTATACGCACAAAGTACTTCATCCAACATACCACGATCTTTTTAAATTGACTGCAGATGACTTATTGCTGTAAATCCCCACCCCGCAACCGTGCCTTTGATGAACTGAATATTGAATGAATTGAACAATAGATTCAAGATGTACCAACTAGGCTCTGCCCATATTAAGCAAGCCATCAAGTTAGGGATAGGAGTGGGATCATACTCGATGTAACCCCACAGACCACAACGCTGTATGCACGATCAAATCTAAAGACATAGATCAATCCTGACGCGATCCTGTGAATATGTGACTACAATGCAGAAATAACAAAGTGTATGTAACCAGTCTCAATGCAAAGTAAGCTTGTATATTATAGTATGGACTGATTGGCTGGCCCTGCAAGGGGTAGTTAGGGTTGCTAGGGGATACCTCCTGCGTGCCAGAATATCCCCTACACATTCATCTCCCTTCGAAGGAAGTTTTAATAAGGTCTGATCACTTCTTGTGTTGGGACAGACGTCTCCTCGAAGGGTTTCTGCTACAGTTGTTATACAACGTAGTTTGGTCTTTCTAGGGATCATCAGCCTAGGATAGACTTAAGTAGCAATATGGTAGGAAAAGGCAGTCACTTGTATTGCCCTGGATTGTTTAACCTACGTATTTTTGACTCACGTCCACGAGGGAATTGAAAGGACTTCATGTGCGCCACTCACATTACCTCCGATATAATCCAGCCGTCAAGTCTGCACGCTTTGGCTACTCTGCACATAAAATGTTGATCGTGGGACTTGGTCTCCAGAGCCTGACAAGCTTTTCTCTCTTTTCTGGGCAGGTCCCTAGGCGATCATTCCACGGGAAGCCAGCATACGCGGCATATGGAACCCTTTGCAACCCTCTGATAGGCATAAGCCCTCTGCTATGTAGACATCATCCCAGCGATGTTGATCCCTATCAATAAGAGCGCGAGGCATGGGAGATACAAAACAGCAATCATAACAGTCCATCCAGAGCCCTATATTGCCTACATAAAGACCATTATAACCCTCCCTTCGATCACCCGCCATTCGTTCATTTGCTTCTCTGACCATCTATACTCTCATTCATTCACAAGACCAAGGTCACTGTACCAATAAAAATGCACGTCTCATACATTTCTCTGGCGTTCTTCGCCATCGGCGCCATTGCCGCCCCCCGCTGCTCCCAAGCCCGACAACGAATACGGAGACATGACTGGCGGCTTCCCTTTCAACCCGCAAGGGTCCTCCAGCATCCAAGACGCCGATGATGGATTCGACGACTTCCCCTCTGCCCTCGAGGCAATGGACCAGGCCTTGGCTGAGAAGCAGCAGTCCGCGCAGGCCGCTCAGTCCTCTGCGCACGCACCCACCACCCACGCCGTGCTAGCCAAGCCCACTTCCACCCATGCAGTTGCGAACTTCCCGGATCCTGCCATCTCCCAGGCCTCGAATATCCCTCACCCCTCCCTTGCCGTTTCGCAGGCTCCTGTCATTTCCAAGGCTACACCTACCGCCGTCTCCACTCCTTCCCACGGCGTTATTCCCACTCCTGTGCGGGGAAGCTCTGCTTCTTCTAGCGCAACTCCTACTCCCAGCGCATCTGCTGCTGCTGGACCACTTGGCGGCCTTGTCAAGAACATTCCCGTTGTCGGAGGTCTCGTTGGCGGTCCCCTGGCAGGCCTCGGTCTCCGTCGTTGAGACTTTTATCTACCTAATGTGATATTAGTGAAATGTGGTTAACTCATGTATCTAATGTTGATTTTGATCACTTCCGCTCTTTTTGTACTTCCGTACCTCTGGCAATGGATTGGTGGCGCTTAGTCTTTTTTTTTTTCCTCCTGAAATCTTTCATATATCCACAATGGCTTTGCTTTATAGAATCTGTTTTGGCTCTTCATTCATCCTTGAATCTATAATATTATCACGCAGATTTCATCTCAGTACATAAAACATAAAACACTCCGAACTCATCTCCTAACTCGATGGGTATCTCCCCCCCAGACCCCAACCGATCAATGCATCCTTCAACAGCCTTTTGCATAGCATTGGTTGCTTCCTCCAACAACGTCGTCAAGGGCACCTTCCCAGCCATCTCCGCCTGAACCCTCAGATACTCATTATTCAACACCTTATTAATATTCACCTTACTAACCCCACAGTCAATACACTTCCTAAAGATCTCCTCAGTGAACGGATCCGCCCCATGAAGCACAAGCCTCACCTCCCGACCAACAGCCTCATTAATCGACTTCAACCTCTCATACTCCAACTGGATCCCTCTGGGCCCATACTCGCCATGCACATTCCCGAACGCAGGCGCAAGCCAATCAATCCCCGTATCAACAAACTCCCGACTCTCCTCCGGCGTCGTAAGCAACCCCTCAAGCTCAGCCGTATCAGCAACACCATCTTCCCCACCCTCAATCCGACCAGGCTCCGCCTCCGTCGCAATCCCCCGCGCATGGCAGTACTCCACCAGCTCGCGCGTCAGAGAAAGATTCTCCGCCTTCTCGTAGTGCGACATGTCCACCATGATGCTGTCGAATCCACCCAGATCAGCAGCGTACCGGATCATCTCCGGTGTTTGCGCGTGGTCCATGTGCACGCTTACGGGTACGGTGGCTTTGCGCGCGGCTTCGGCCGCCGCGTGGAGGAGGACGCCGTCCGCGTACTGGATGGCCCATGGGAAGAGGAGGACCATTGCTGCGGAGCGTTTGGCTTCGGCGGCTCGGATGGTTGCTAAGATGCCTTCTATGTTGTAGCAGCACATTGCGGGGATGGCATAGTGGTTTGCGGAGGCGTGGTCTAGGATGCGCAGGGCGCGGTTTTCTTGGAGGGTCATTTTTGGTTTGGTTTGGGTAGATGTGAGTTTGAGGGTGAGGGTGAGGGTGAGAAGAAGATGGTTCCGTGGGAAATGAGGGGTTTGTAGTTTGTGATTCACTGTAGACCGGAGTCCGTGGTGTTTTATAGTCTCGCTGTGTTGTCCGAGTTGGTCGCTTCACATCCGACTGTCGGAGTTGCTCCGGACTCTACGTCACTTTGAGCTATTCGCTTGGGCGCGGATATAGGTCCGGGATATTTACTGCGACAGTAGCCTTGAAAAGTTCCTGGGGATACTTTTCATTTCCAGAGAGTTGATTTATACTATTCGTCTTAAACAAATGAGTTAACTAGTTCATTGTTGTTACTAACCTTGGAATGAGGCAACAACAGGCTCTTCTGCCCTTATACACGGATCAGCGTTTTTTTTTATTAAGTTTTGTTGTAAATGCTAAGCATAAATATCACTACCCTCTTGATTAGCTATTCAAAATAGTACAAAAGTGATGTTTGGTCTGTGATATCGGCCAACCCCCGAACTTCCACCAAGTACCTCTTCCAACAACAAGAACCAACAGACTCAAATCTACAACCCGGCAATTAAGAAACCATTAAATAACAAAAGTCGGACCCTGGCAAAGCCATCAATCCAAGCAAAAGCCAAGGTAAAAGCTCCTCGGACTTCCACCGAACTATCCCGCGTTTCCCAAGCATCTTCCCCTCATAAAACCCTCCCAGTTTGAGCTATTGTATGTTTATTTTATTTTATACATTAACAATTGCCATTTCCCCAGGAAATATTCTCCACTGACTATTTTATTCAATTCTATACATTAATTCCTGGTCTCAATAACCAACAACCATGTCCAAACCCTCAATCGGCTTCGTCGGCCTAGGCGCCATGGGCTTCGGAATGGCCACGCATCTCGTGAAAGAAGGCTACGCAGTACACGGCTTCGACGTGTTCCCAGCCTCAGTAGAGCGCTTTAAGGCCGCAGGCGGGATCCCAGCATCTTCACTACAGGACTCAGCAAAGGAAAAGGATTTCTACGTGTGTATGGTAGCTTCCGCGCCGCAGGTGCAGAGTGTTCTGTTCGGCGATGATGGTATAGTTGCAGGTAAAACACCAACACCAACAACACCCATTCCCAACGCCCTCAAATCCCGAAATATAAAATTAACTCACATCACAGCCCTTCCCAAAAATGCAACCCTCCTCCTCTGCTCCACCGTCCCGGCATCCTACGCCCAATCCGTTGCCGCAGAGCTGACATCCTTCGGAAGAAGCGATATATCCTTCATCGATGCACCCGTGTCCGGCGGCGCACTCCGCGCCGCAGCTGGTACATTGTCAATCATGGCCGGTGCACCAGATGTCGCGCTGGAGAAAGGCCGGTTCCTACTACAGGAGATGTCGGACGCTAATAAGCTGTACCTTGTCCCCGGCGGAATTGGCGCAGGTAGTAACATGAAGATGGTGCACCAGGTGCTGGCGGGTATTCATATCCTTGGTGCTAGTGAAGCTCAGGGCTTTGCCGCGCGACTGGGGTTAGATGCCGTGAAGACGGGTGAGGCGATTAAGTCCAGTGCGGCTTGGAGTTGGATGCACGAGAATCGGTTGCAGAGGATGTTGGATGAGGATTGGTATCCTGGTGCTAGTGCTTTGACTATTATTCTTAAGGATGTGGTAAGGATATTCTTATTCAATCTTTGTCTTTCATTTTTTGGGAGTGGATTTTAGGGGGTGGGTTTGCTAATTTGGTTTTTTTCCGATCAGGGGATTATCACAACTTCTGCGAGACAAAGTCAATTTCCGACTCCGCTATGCTCCACTGCTGAGCAGGTTTATTTGTCTGCTTTGTTGCAGGGTTATGGTCCTGTTGATGACTCGTCTATGGTAAGGCAGTATTTTGCTGAGCCGATTACCAAGGTCTCGTCTACCATGTCTGAGGAGGAGACGACGGAGGCCTTGCAGTTGGTGTTGGATCTGATGGAGGTGACTAACCTCGTTGCGGCTGCGGAGGCTATTTCGTTTGCTCGCTATCTCAATGTCGATCTCAAGCAGTTTTATACCCTTGTTGCTGATGCTGCTGGTGCTAGTCGGCAGTTTATGACGAAGGGGTTGGAGATTATTGACGGACTTGGACAGGGCACGAATGGGGAGACTGTTGATGATGCTACTTCTCGTCTAGAGAAGGCTGTGCAGAAGGCGCGCGACCTCCACTGTCCTTTGAATCTTGGAAATGCTGCTTTGAGTGTGTTGTTTATGGCGAAGAAGTCTGGGTTAGGGACTGAGGGGAGTGCCAGTGTGGTGAAGGCTTTTGAACATTAGTACAATTGTCGATGGTGATGAGATTCGAAAGTTTGTATTCCAAATATCAGTTTTATGCACAGCGCAAATCCTATTTAAGGCGTCATTTACTTGCTTTTTTTGTTTCCCGCCATAAGCGCAACCACCTATATAGTCTGACGACATGCTACTTTGGCTTTTTAACGTTACTGGGTAGAAGGACTACAGCCACGTCTTTTTTGAGTCTGATAAAAGAATGTGTTTGATAATACTATCAATAAGAAATGAAATACGTTGTGTGTGGGTATCCAGAATATTATATCCAACCATGAGAAACCAATTAGTATGTACGGCCTAGAAGACCCCCTAACAAGTGTAGGGATATCCCCAAAAGCCAGAGAAGAGAAAAAAAAAGAAAGACATCAAATATACCAAAAGTCCAAAAGTCCAAAAGTCCCGACCCAAATCTTAAAACGACTTAAACTCATTTCGCATGTTGCACACAGTAAAACATCTAAACCTCAATTCCCATCTTGAGAGTCTCGATCGAAGCAAGCGAAGTTCTCCGATCCTTAATAAACTTAGGCCAAGTATTCGTAAGCACAAGGTACTTAATACTAGCTTCAGCAGCATCAAAGATCGAAGCATCAAAGTCAACGGGAATATCACCCCAGTATTGAACGCGGTCCTTGATATCCATATCACCGGCCATAGTCTTCCCAGAGTCAACAGAACCCGGCGACGGAAGATCAAAAGTGAATTTATCAAAGGGACTAGTGGGATCACAGTCGCGTTGCTCGCCGTACAGAAGACGTGTCGGTTTCTCAAAAACTTCCTCTAGCTTCCGCAGCTCCTGGTGTGAGATGTTGACGGGGAACTCGGCATGGCGAACACTGATAAACTCGGCATAGATGTGCAGCGCACGGTTGAAGCCTTCGCGGACGATGTCGCGCTTGTTCTTTTCGTGCAGTGCGCTGCCGTCCTTGATGCATTGTGGGAGTCGGCTGCGCCATTCTGAGACGCTGGTGAGGAAGACGATGTTCTCGCCGGAGAATTCGCGCAGAGCGGAGAATTCTTGGAGTGGGGCTGGGTTACGCTCGAGGACGTGTTCGAGGGCGCCCATTGTGAGGATGCTGTCGCGCGAGTTGAGTGTGCTTGTCGAGCTGTTGGATTTCCAGCCGGACATAATCGATTCTACCACTGTCATGTCGGAGTGGAGGGACTTTTCTTCGGAGTTGGTGGATTTGACTTTGAGTTCCCAGCGTGCGATCGACTCGAGGGTTTCTTGTCGGAGGGATTGGTGGCGCATAACTTCCCAGCAGGGGAGGAAGACTGTGAAGATTTCGATGAACATGATGGAGAAGCAGATCCTATGAAATAGTTGTGTTAGAGAGTTAGGTCTTTTTGTGGTTATATTGGGTTAGAACTTACCATTGAGGAGGAACGAAGACCTTGTTGACCGGGGCCATGGCGGGGACATAGAGGCCGATGAGCCACATCGGGGTAGCGTGAAGGTTGGAAACAGCACAGCCAATAGTCTGGACTCGCCAGCCGTGGGTATCGTGGATGTTACGGGATTTCCACAAGACGACGGGGGCAACGATCCAAGACCAGAAGAACTGCGAGACCACACCGGGCCACCATTCCCATCCTGCGCCTTGTGCTGCGAGCACCTCTGCGGGGGTACCATGGACTCCGGTACCGGGAATACCCCATGAACTGTGGTATTTGCGAGAGATTATCCACATGAGAACCGTGAGGAACACCTACATGAGAAGGTGGGTTAGATAAAAGAGTTGTCATATATATAAATGAGAAGGTAGGGGATTCATACCTGAACAAACATTGCGATAGCGACGTAAATAAGAATCTTGGTAGTATATCCAAGAGCACGGAAACGATTGATCAGCCCAGTCTTGTTTTCCAAAGTAGGCGATTCAGTAAAACGGTGTCCATCCAGAGCATATTTCCTCTGGAGTTTAGCGACATGTTGAAAACGAGTGTTAGAGCCATGGAAAAGCGCCATGCCACAGGGCAACAGAGTCCCCATAAGCCAATAGGAGCAATCACCCGGCAGAATAGTACCGATCATAGTAGCGAACTGGGTCGGGATCCAGTATAAATGAAGAATAACGATAGAGGTTAACGATAGAGCAAGGCCTCGAATACGAAGTGTTGGCATATCGCGATTAGCGATCAGATAGGACATACCGGCCACGAGGGCGGATGTCCACACACATGCCCAGACAGCCCACCAGATGGTGACGGGGCTGAGATCAATTTGGGCCTTAGACTCAGCCGTGGCACCATATTCGGACCCCATATTGAAAACAAAAAATGCAAGTGCTTAAGGAATGTGAGTGAAGTTGGGTAGCGCTTAGTTTCCAGAATGTCGGGTCTTCATGTCCTTATGTACAACATCGTGCATCGACGGAAACTAGAGCCACGGGGGGGGAACCACTTGCACGAGTAAGTGGACCCCCCTAACCAGCTTTTTTTCAGCATCGAGTTGTCGATCAGTATGGGATATCCATTTCATTCCAAAACTTCAAGGTTCTACTGGGTAACATTCCATTGTGGAGTATGTTTGAGGTTCAATGATTTGCTCAGTTATGGTCTCAGTTGAGTTCCGTTACTCCAACACTGCGGTGGCCCGTCTCGGTCCCGTTCACGAATGGAGAATATCCACATTTGTTATTTGTCAATTGAGGACTAGTTATGATTGGTTGGATAAGATAAATTAAGATGAAGACGATGAAATTCGAGATCAAGATCTCTTGGCATTAAGGTCTCCCCTTTTTTTATTGAATCCGCCCTGGAAACTATTGATTTTTCTCCCAAAACTACGTGCCGTGAAGGAAGTCGATCGTAGCCCTAAGAGGCAGGCCTCTACATTTATGTTCTATGACGTTGTAAGTACTTACGCTCTAATAGATTCTTTTCTTCTTCTTATATATCGTTAATTCCCGCAAAACCCCCAAGGGTACAGTACCTATGTCAAATTCGAGACATCTTCTACTCCGTACAATTGGTGGAATCTTTAGTTCACAATCACATGGGATACTACATAGTACAAGAAAAAATAGTCTAGTGGAGTTGGATTTTAGTTGAAAAAAAAAAAAATAAGCCAGGAAGTACTCCATATGATGTAGTAGCATCCGAATTTAGACTAGCATATAAAAACCCCAAGAGACTATCGTTTTATAAAATCAATCGCGATCAAATTTGAGATTCTATTCTCGGTCTCGCTTTAAGACAAACAGGAAAATGGATCTATTTCATGACTCAATACTCTGCATACAGAAAGAAAAAAAAAAGAAAGACCTGGAAAGAAAAGGAAATGAGTGTAAAGAAAAACATTGCCCAAAAAGGAAATCCTGCATCGCACATCACTTAATCCGTGAAGGCTCAAAAAGTCCCAAAGCCTTCGCCTCTTCCTCGGAGTCCGCCCGTAAATTCCCAGAATACTTAATATCAAATCCAGGAACAAGCAGAACTTCCTCAAGGCCCCTATTCACAACCTCTTCTTCAGACCTCGCATACATATAACCGTAATACGTGTACTGCCCCGCCTTAGTGATCGACACATCGGCAACCTCGGCCTTCACACAACAATCCTCATCATGTTCAGGCTCCTTCAATCCCATCTCAAAAGCATCCAACTCACAATATGCCTCAAGATACCCATAATAAGCCCCACCATAGTAATCACCACATTCTCCAGGAACCGGTTCCGCATCACACAGTCCCATACGTCCAACCTCCTCCAGTGAGATCGCACACATAAACCCAGTGTACCGATGACGCACACGTTCCGGCATCGTAAAAAGCGCATCCTTGCAACATCCCCACGGATGGCTGATATTCGTTAGTCCCATTGCCCGGGCATGCTGCAGATCATCCGCCCGCAACAACCCGTGGAACTTCCCATTTTCGCCGGGGATCCGCCGGATATCCTCCAGCCAACGTTTTTCTGCTTCGATCTCCGACGGTGCTTGCATCGCCCCGTAGTAGAGGTGGAAGTCGACGGGTCGCTCCGCGCAGCATCCTCGCACGTGGGTCGGGTCTAGCAGGCCCTGCTGGTTCGCGTCGTCTTCGGAGTGAACGAGCATGAACCCTTCAGACTCACCGGAGTAATTACCGTAGGGTCGGACTTCGCGTAGTCCTCGTTCGTAGGCCTCTTCTTCGCTGGCAAACATACTGCCCATGTACAGGTGCTTCTGGGGCTGGGGGTCTGGGACTGGGATTGGTGAGGCATGTTCGGTCTTGGGGGATGTGCTCTGGGAGACGGGGGTGCTGGCGCCAGCGATGCTTGCAGTAGTATAATTTTTTGCTTGCCACATTCGGTCGAGGGACTCTGTGTCCCACAGATGGGGGTCCTCTTCGATGCCCAGCTCGGCGTTCTGCTCGCGTCGGTCGTCTCGGTCTTTTTTTAGAAGTGCGGTGTCGAGGAGCTTGGTGATGGCTTCCTGTCGGGCTTCTTTTTCGTTGTTTTCTTCAATGCGCTTTAGAACGGTCGCTTCGATACGTTGCTGCACAAGGTCAATATCAAGAACGGACTCCTCACATGAGTGATGGTCAGCTTCAGGGTTATCAACAGGTGTGTCCTTTAGAGCAACATAGGGGTCAACTACGTCAGCAAGGTCATTGTTCACGTCCACATCGGAGGTCTTAGCATCGCGCTGTCCATTATCAGTGTCCACTTCCCGTTGTCGCTGTCGCTTCTCAAGGTATTCGTCAATTCTCAGTTTAAGTATATTATACCTTATCAAACCGGATCCACAGAGCGACGAGCCAGAACTGTCTGTGTCGAAGCTGCTTGCATCGCTGGGAGATGCACATACATCATCCTCGATACCCGGAGATTCAGTCTCAACATTGTCGTTTTCGTGTCCGCTCTGTGCGAGATGATCCGGACTAGTCCTGACGATAGGAGAGGCAATAGAATCAAGATCTCCAGCCACCACCGTTGAACTGAGGTTAGTATGAGAGAGCTTAAAAGCCGTTCTAGACGACTTATCAGAACGCGCCAGGCTTCCACAATCCTCCTCCGATTCGCCGACAACAGCACGCGAGCAGATCTGACCATTGTCGCTGTGGCCAGCACCGTCCGCGTCCCCATTGCCCGAATAATCAACGGCAGCACCCAAGAAGACCTGACCATTGTCGCTGTGGTCAGTACTGCTTGTGTCCCTGTCGTTGTGAGTAGGATCACTCACTATGCGCGCGTTAACTTCGATAATTTGCCTAACCTCCATACCCTCAATTGACCGGTAAGAGTTGGAGGATTGGATCTGGTCGTCTCCGTGAGAGGGGAGGTTCTCAGCCCACTCGCTCTCGCACTGCACGCACATGCTGGGCTGGGCGGAGAGGAGGAGGTCGTGGGAGGGTGTGACCTTGGTGCAGGATGCGCTGCCCTCCGGACCGGCCAGGCGGAGCTTGTTGGTGTATTCTTGGCAGCTGGTCATGCTCCAGTTGGAGATGTGTCCGCAGCTGGGATAATGGTGGTAGGTGTGTTTGCACATTTTTAAGTAATAGAGGAATGGAATAGATTGATTGGAAGTAGAAAATATATGAGATGAGATGAGAGGAGTGCTCTACTACCATATTAAATCTGCGCGAGGATCGTGGCTTATATACAACTTGCTCTAGGGGTTGTGGGAGTCTCCGATGGCGAGTACAAAGCCGAGTCGATGGACAAAGGTATATAATACAACAAAGATAGGGTTAAGGGCATTGTTTTGGTGCCATAGTGAAACTCTTTGTTCACAGCTGTCTGTGAACAATTCTTTATGTGTAAAACTTACTCGCAAGGACTTTCTGGCCTTTTAGACGGATTGTTTCAACTATCCTCAAAGAATCATGCTCATTGTATCCAAACCACCTGATAATACCATTGTATCCAACTCTGATGACGCACACTGCAAGACATAGGTATGTTGACTCATGCTGGAATAGTTTCTTATAGGTCCAGTTACCCGGAGCGAATAGAAATTGATGCTATAAAGGTGTAGAAATAAAGAAATCAACTTCAGACGCTCTTGTTCTTTTGTGTCAGGTCAGGTCTTCTTGCCTCAGGCGGATATTACCTCTACTCCTCCGACCATTATCCTTCTCCCTGCCTTTCTCCCCCTCTCTCTTTCCCATCTCCGTTCTCTATATATTCAAACTCTCAGCTTCAGGTGCTTAACCTGCGAGATGTATGTTCCTCTTTATCATGGCTTTATAGCTCTCCGTCACTCCATCTTTCTACCAACTATCACAACCATGATTTTCGAAGCTACCACATCATCGACTAGATATATACCACCTGTGGACGATGAATTATGACTGAGGTCAACTTCTGGGATACAAGCTTCTTCCAATACCCTTCGTCCATGGGTAACAAGTGACACTGGGGAGACACTGTGGTTACTGTTGCGCAGAGTTTCATCAACATGCACATCTTCAAGCTGGCTTACTGCCTGGCGCTATCACCTCTCGCCAAAACCCTGTTACTTGGATACATAGGTCACCCAGATCTTAAGGTTCGCAAATTTCTTACACTTTCACTTTGATGATCACTACAAGCTGTTAAACTGACAACGGCCATGCGCAGCACCTACGTCGAAGGTGGCAGTCATGTCAACCGAATACTATGTTGGCTCTGGTCCACTGTTTTCAGTGACGGAGAACCAATGCTGCAAGAAGCACATCTGTGGATATTGGAAGCGTTTAATGAGAAGATTGGAGGACCTATTCGTACATCTAATGTATCAAAAAAATGATAAAATATTGCGAGAAATCCAGGCGGATATGCGCAACAGATCCATTGCAGGTCGAAAAGGCACACCTAGGTATGCCTACCGGGAAAATGTTCCGTCTTTTCCGATGGCATACCGCTTCAAAAGGTCGTATTGGGCGAACCTGCGGGAGGAAGCGAGAGGAAGCGAGTACGGATTCAAGAAGAAGGGATGGAACCTCCCTTTGAGCTCTCTTCACCGATGCTCCAGGTTGGCCAAAAGAATGCGCCAACTGTCACTGCAGAATAACATCCAGGTGAGATATCTGCTTCCATTCTGGAGATTGGTGTTGACTTATATTAGTTACATCGTCTGTTAGGTCTAGAACCAAGAGAATCTGTGAAGACATGATTCAGGGAAGATGATGAGGGCAGCATTAGAAACCCCATTCATGTGATTATTTACGACACCGAAGATGGGAATCGACATCTTGTGAGTATCGCTACCATTTCCATCCTCCTCGCTAACTCGAAGAGCGATACTCCGAAGAGGCCAAGTTCGTGGAGAAGGTCACCCAACTATGTCAACCAAAAGAGCCAAAAATATAAACATCCTGGTCGAGTAAGACAAGTTCCAAGCTCAGAGGACAGAGGGAATGACGAAAGCGACCGCAGTACAATTACCCGGACGAGCTTTCGGGGACGTTCTACAAGAAATGGCTGGAGCTACACTCTCACATTGGGTTTCCACACCCTATCATTCACCTTGACGACAATAAACCGCGCAAACAAAGCCGCAGACGGTAGAAAACGCAAGAGAAACGATCAAAGCGGCTAGAAGGATGCCATAATTTACTAGTACGATGCGGAGCACGTGGCTGCCACAATGATACAACGAACGAACTCGACTCAGGAAAGAAATGATGCTGGATGCATGCATGGACCTCCTCCCCGAGTAAGGTCCAACCATACCACCGCTAGCATAGTCGCCCTCCAAAGGTCAGGCTGTACAACATGAAATATATATTACAATTATAACATATTTCTATATTTCACAAGTTCACAAGAAAGCCCATCCATTTCCGTAATGCCAGTATTCACAACACAAAAGTATTTATCCCAAACCCAGCTCCAACTCCAAGTAAAACCAAACAAGTCACACTCAACCCTCCAAATCCGTCAAACATCTAACCCCAGAGTCTATCAACCACCAAGCAGCAGTCTCATGCATCCATTTCAAAACAGGCCTCTCCAACGGCATCTCCCTAACCTCATCCGCTCTCTTCCACATAACTGTCTCACTACAAAACATAACCTCCCCCTCACCCTCCAAACTCCTACTTTCCTCATAACTAATCGCCAATCTCCCCTCCACAAAATCCATCGCTTCCATCGCAATCACAAACTCAACCCGATCCCTCTTCCGCACCACAACACGATAAACCCCACAAACCAAATCCCCAACCTCAAAGTCCAACGCGGCAAGATACCCCGTCTTGAAACTCCGCTCCTGCTCCGGCGTCTTACTAGCCATGGCAAGCACAAGCGCCTGCGGGAACCGCGAGAAAGCCGTCATGTTACGGCGCACGAGTCTTTTGAAGAGCACGTCTGTGGTCTCATTGCCGGGGAGGCAAGCTCGTGACACAGACTTTGAGGCGTAGTCGTAGAGCGTAAAGTACTCATCGCCAAAGACGGTTTCTGGAATTGATTCTATACTTGGTGGTTTTGTGGCTGTGGAGAGGGTTCCAAGGTGCGATTTGTGCGATATACTTTTTGATAGGCGTTCGTGAAAGATGTAGAAATAGATTGCCGTGGAACTGGTTATTATTACCGTTGCTGTGAAGATGAGACGAATCATTTTGTTTTGGTCTGAGGCTGTGAGATGTCTACAATTGTGTGGGTAGTGTGGTCTTTGGGGGTTTCGTGTTGAGAAAATGGATTGTCAAGTGATCCGCATCATCGAATACGAGGTTGGCTTGGCGCGTTCATCTGTTCCTACTTTTTATCATCAGAATATGTCATAGAAATATGCCAGTTGAAATATTTTCTCATAAAATTCAGGTCAAATTCATAAGTTGGTCAGATCTGCGACCATCACAAAAAGGAAATTAAGTCAAAAGTTGCGCAACGCCAACTACAACTTCCAAAATGATGGCGTTGAATACAAAGTGGTATCAATCCTGAAACAACAAAAACATCAAAAATCGAAGTAGATAAACCCTCACTTCCTCGCCCCATTCTGCAAAACATTTACACGGCCACTATTATGCCATTTCGCAAGCTTAGCACCACACTTCCCACAAGAATGCTCGACATCCTTAAGCGAGGACATCAAGTAAGGGACACATCCGAGACAGCAACAGAAGCAGAGAACAGCAGCCCAGCCACTATACCGAAAAAAAAAAAAAAAAGGTCAACCATCAAAATCCAATACTTTCAACTTATATCCATGGGAAATTCAAACTTACTGCGTAGTCCCACCACTAACAGACTCAACACTAGTCATCTCCCGCTCTCCACAAACAGGACAATCAACCGGACACGGTGCAGATTGTACACAGTGCAGCGGTACAACCGTGGCATAACCACTGGGATGGCCAGAAGGCGTGTAGTACTGCTGCGGGTGACCCTGGAGCTGTGCTTGTGCTTGCGCTTGCGCCTGTGGATATTGGGGCAGGGGCTGGCCCGGGTACGCTTTCTCGGGGGGAGTAGTCATTACTGTCGACGCGTCGTATGCTGGTGCTTGGCCGATCGAGTCGGGTTGGTGGGGGTATTGTTTTTCTGAGGGCCCGTTCATTGGTGTTGGTGTGGAGCTTGTGTGTAGGGTGGATGGGAGGGATTGTCCGGTGTTAATTGGGCTGATTGGGCCTTGGGTTTGATGGTTTGGGGTGACGACTTCTGGGGCTTCGCTGTATGTTGGGGCTGGTGCTAGGGGTTGTTAGTTGTTGGGTACTTGTAGGGGGATGGTGAGGGGGCTGATGCGTACTATGTGTTGGCTCGGGGTGTTGGATGTCCTCTGGCATCGTTCCTGTTGACCTTTTTGAGTCTGGGGTATTGGGGAGAGGTGGTTTGGTGGGGGATGCCGGGATGTTTCACTTGTGTAATGGGGGTGGGAAGGGTTTTTAAGTCAAATATGGCAGAACTTCCAGATAATAAAATGAATGATAAAATGAATGATAAAATGATAAAAATAGAGATATGATCGTCAAGGGCTAATATGTAAAGTAACCTCCAACTCGTATTATAGTGGATATCGGGGGATTCCATATGAGTGCACTGCCTTCAGTTTGGGGGTTGCCAAGTCTAAGCCACAGCTTTTATTTTGATGTTTTGATGTTTTGAATGGAAATTGTTGTCAGAAGACTTTACAAGATATATTATTGATCCAGCTCTTTACTCGTGTCCCTTATTCACGACATTTAGGATACATAAAACAGTGGAGTATTGTAAAAGGCTGTTGACAGGAATGCGGCTGATTTTGCGACCAATTTCCATTTGTATCAGGTCCACTACCTCGTATAACCAAATGCAGATCTATATATTGCAATATAAGTCTGTTGACCTTAGTATGTAGTATATCGCAGTTCATTCTACTTAACTACAACATAACTATAACTAACTAGTTAACTATCATAGTAGTTCTACACTCCATACCGCCCCTTTGGACCCCTAGCGGTTTTAAGATTATTACACCCGAAGTGGGCGAACGCCAACCCAATCACAATGCCACTGGCAGTCAGTTCCATAGCCGATCGATGCCCGTTTGGGCGTCCGTCCGTGAGCCTTTCAAGGCTGAGTGGCAGGCTTAGACGCAAATGCTTCAATCATGCAGATACTCGTGGGGCTTCGGGATATTTCGCCCCCAAATACTATTCGGAATACGATGTATTATAATTGCGATCATCTTGGGTCGTTGTGTGTTACTATGTCTAGCTTTTAGCCTCTAGGTAACTAGCAATGGTACCAATAGACCTACCTTTTTCGTACATTTGGAACAATATAGAGTTATCATCCTCACGATCCCAACTCTCAACTCCAAAACATGGCCCTCTAAAAATCAAGAGTCAAACCAAAAAATCAAAATCAAAATCAAAATCGCTTCACGCTAGATGCTACATAGATATTATACGCATACTCAATAAATCATAACCATCAGAAATACTGATACCTCACCGGTCCCCCTCCCCCAGGATAATACCCATACTGCGCAAAAACCTCCAAAATCTCCCTCCTCTGCATTCTCCCCGCAAAAGCCATAACTGTCTCCGTCCTCCGATTCCCCCCTTAACAAACGGATCCGCCCCGCGCTCCATCAAAAGCCTAGCCATCCCCACCACATTCGACCGAACAGCCTTATACAACGGCGTCTGCCAAGGATATCGCATAAGATCAACCTTCGCCCCACGATCAAGTAACAGTCTCGCAACTCTCATATTCCCATTCAACGCCGCCAAAGCCAACGCCGTATCCCCCGTACTATTAACAGCATCGATATCCGCCCCGGAGTCCAGAAAAAGCTCCACAATCCGGTCCTGTCCATACGCCGCAGCTTGCGAAAGCGCCGTCTTGCCAATCCCCTTCCCGGAATTCATATTCACGCCCGAGGCAACCAGAATCTGTACGATGCGGTCGAAGCCGCGTGTTGCCGCGATGCTGAGCGCTGTCTCGCCTGTTATGGCCCGGGCGTTCAGGTCCGCGCCGTATTCTAGGAGGAGCCGGGTTGTGGCTTCGTGGCCGAAGGAGACGGCGGCCATTAGAGCTGTTGTGCCGTCGTCTTTTTGGGTGTTGGCGTCCGCGCCTTTGGAGAGGAGGGTTTGTACGGTTTCATGTTGGTTGGCTTTTATCGCGGCTATGAAGGGTTCCTTGGAGCTGGTTATTTCCCAGAGAAGGCGGCTCATACGGTGCGGTTTTTTTGAGTTTCTTGATACTTTGAAGGCGTGTAGGTCTAGTGAGAGTTTTGGTGGCTTGGGCGAGAGAGGTACTTTCACTGGTATTGGGAGGTTCATGCCGTCGCTTTCTGCTGGTCTGGTCTCTTTCAGAACTGGGATGGGGAAGTTCTCGACAGGTAGCGCTTGTTTCTGTGTATCTGTGCAGTCTTGCATGTCCAATATCACTGGTATTGGGAAGTTTTCTTCTCGTGCTGTCTCTTTTTCTGGATAGGGCACTGTTTCTTTTTCTGGATAGGGCTGCTCTGGGCTTGGATATGAGCTGTACTTGTCTGAAAATGAGAAGCCTTTTGGCGGGAGCGGGAGGAATGGAAGACCAGATGGTTCGTCTGCTAGCCAGTCCTTGTCGTCCAGGCTTCTCTGGCGTTCCATTTTCAGGGCTAGTTCTGGTGCTGTGGACTCAGGGACTTTCATTGGAGTCGTGTCCTCTTTTCTTGTAGACCGTAGACCATCAGCTATCTTTCGAAGAGTTGGTATAATGAAGTTTCGGTTCAGCGTCAACAAATCCGAAGAAATACCAGAAGCGACCAACTCCCCTTGTAGGCGGGTCCAGACACCATCGTCCTCAAGGTTCGAAGAATCCCTCAAAACATCAGAGACAACCAAAGCCTCCCTATTGCCAGCAGAAACATCATTGACGAAACATCTTAGCGCATGCTCAATAATCTTCTGCGATGATCTGTATCAATGTTAAAACCCAGACTAACGCACAAATAGAACATCGCGAACACACATCATCATGTTCAAATTCACCTCCGTAATCCCAAAAGTAACCGACGAGAGACGCGCGCGAATATCAGAAACCAAACTCTGAGCACCGAGCGCATCTGGGTGTAACAACAACTTCTGCAATTCCAGCAGAACAACATGGCAGCTATGCAATCTTTTTTTAGGACTGCAAAGTGGACGCATTCTGCGCCTAGAGACAATGTATACGTCTCGGTCGCGCCTAGCACGGCCAGAAGCAGACCAAGCTCGTTTTGGGTCTGGTTCGTAAGGCCGGTTGACCCACGTGTCGACTCATATAGGGAGTCGGCTAGTAATCGGATTGCGGTTGTTTGGTGACATGGTTGGCTACCTGCCGCTGATTGTAGAGACATGGTGTTGGGCTTTGGAATAAGCAATGCGACTAGAGCTGGAGTGCTGATGACATCCAGGTGATTGGGGGGCTCATCTGGAGGGGCCCGTGCAGCATCGGGCGGTTTTTGGCCCCTTAGGGGGTTCGATTGATTTTTGGTGATTATGTCAGGATGGGAGATGTCCACGGGTGGATGAGTATTTTACAAAAGAAAATAAAAGGGTAAAGAGAGGTAATTTCAAACAAAATAATAGGCGAATTATCAGGACATAAGGAAGAAGATTGGACATGAATCCGATTTGAGATCAGATTCATTCGCATAGAATGCAAGGGACATTAGATTACAACCTCCCTATTTATTCTCAACTCTACATTAGTATCTTTGGTTGGGAGATATTGAGATATTGGTGATTAACTTGAGACTTAATGGTACGTTGGAGGTTTACAATGGAAAATAAGAGTTAAACAGATACACCTGGTTTATTCAATAACAACTAAACAAGCAGAAAGGCCAAAAGAAGTTAGCTCATGGCCGAGAAGCTTTCGGGAACTGAACGCCGTCAGCGATATCCAGAGGCAGCTCGTCACCAGAGAGCAAGACACTAGCATCCGCACGACAATCATCCAAATCCGCAGATACATAAAAGTCAACGCTCGCCTTCGGAGTTGGCAACAACTCATCCGCCTCGAGGTCAGCAATGGCTCGAGTCAAAGGGGCCATAATGCGGCCATTACACATGCGCTCGAACTGGACCAAGAAGTGGTCTGTAGGCCTATTACGAACAGTGAGACAATCAGGACATGTGCGTGCCATCTCCTTACCCAGAAGAAAGATAGCCTGTAGCAGCTTCACCAGCTTGTGGAGAATTGGAATGATCTCGGGGCGGAGACCGTCTCCAAGACTCAGGAATTGAAGCTCTTCGTAGAGACAGGACTTGAAGCAGGCGCAAGCGGTAAGGAATCGCTTCTCATTGTTCATGTTGCCGATCTCTTCGTTGTCTGGGTATTTATTCAAAGGCATGTTGATTGTCCGTAGTAGGGAATAGACTGGGGGCTTGATTAACGGGGTGGATGTATGTAGGGTTTCTTACCTGGGATCTTCGATGGTTGTAGATGGTGGGAAGGATACTCGAAAAGATAGAGATTTCCATCTATTTATGCTTTTTAGTTGCTGTTAGCTGGGTTTATTTGAACAAAGACTTTGTTCATTCAATGAGGGAACAAATGCCTTTTATAGATCTTTGGACAAGCAGACAAAGGCGGGTGGTTCCGCCACAGACAGATATCATAGGCCGGCCTGGTTGATAATGAGGTAGTAAATTGGTGTTTTGAAGACACTCCATATAGCATCAAATAATGTCAGGGGTGAGTGAAAGCTAGCCGGGGTTGTTGGGATTCCATGATGAATTGACGAAAGCCAGAAACAGTATTTCTAGATCTTAACTTACTAAAATTAAGCATAATCCTTTTAGGGAGCTTGTTGTAGTTCCCTCTGAGAGTCACCACCAACCGACTTGGCGACAAAGGAGGGTACACGCGTAGGCGCCATGTTATCGGTAACTTAGACGTTCATAAATAGATTTTACATCAAAGAGACAAGGCTCCTAAGAAAAGTGATACGGTTAAAGGAGTAAACTTACCCTCTTTAGGGACTAACATCGGGCTTTAATAGCGAAGAAATATATGAGACGGTGGGGATAAGGCAACGCGACTTGAAAGATATAAATAGAAAAGCTAATAGGTCTAGAGGCTAATAAGAATCATACGCTATTATCGTGACTGACACTAGTTTGAATAAGATTTTCACCAAGGGCTCACGATAATGTTAGCGCGGGCTCTGGGTGCTAGTTGTTGTCAAGATAATGGCTTGGTGACCTAACCGATTAGTTCTATAACGGACGAGTCACTAAGCTCCTAATTTAGCCAAATAAATCGTCAGGTAAAGACATTGAATACAAAATGCGGTTTGAAATAATGCTTCAATGTCTCTCGAACCAAGCTAGTGCTTGGTCCTCCGCCTCATCAGCCTGCTTGCTTGCATCCCCTACAATAAGACTAGCTCGCACACAGAACCCATGACCGGCCCCTTCATAGACCCTCACCTCTCCTTTTGTCGATTTAGCTTCATTCTCAAAGACCTGTTGGATCTGCTTTATCTGTGGAGGCTTCACAACCATGTCCTTATCGCCAAGGGCAAAGCTAATAGGAATGACAATCTTCTCGATATCACTGGGAATCTCGAGGTTACTGGGATGACCGGTGAACCCAGCATTAAGAAGAGGTTTTCCGTTGGAAGCTGTGTCGTCCCCGAAGCCCAGATTTACGGTATGCTTTCCTCCCCAGCAGAACCCAGCTGCATAGATAGGAAGCTCGGAGCCCTCGTTTTCTCGCACGGACTTGAAGAAGTCTCTCACGATAGGCCATGCAGTCTCGAAAGAATTGTGGTATTTGAAGGGGATGATTTGAGTCATCACACAGGCCACATAATAGCTATTTCTCGATTTAGCGATGGTGCTATTAATGCATCCCGGTGTTATATCCGTGAATCGTATCATGTGGTTGTGACTTACGGCTTCATGAGCCAAGTTGCTAGTCCATCTGTTCTGAGTAACTCCCTCGTGTTATACAACATGTTGACCGGTGCCGCATGCCCTGAAGTTGAGATAAATGTCTTAGTGGGCGATTTCTTCATATTTGACGATGATAATACTTACCATTCATGAAGTCAGGAAGGTAGACGAGGTACTTTCCCTTATCGGCATAATTATCGGCCAGGATACGGTTATTCACGAATTCCCATCCGAAGGCGTCGGGAACTATAACGATGATTCCTCGGTGGGCTGCATCGTTGGAAGGCTTGGTGGTGTAGGCCTGTAATCCATGTATGGTGGTGACTTCACCTCGTAGAGTACCTTGATGGACATGACCGTTGAAACATTCAGGGCACGACATGTTGCAAGAAGTAAATTGATGGTGGAAAAAGTGAGGCTGCTAACTGATTTAAGAAGCTTAGATGTAGGAATCATAGGATCACATGCGGCTCGAGATGCTGACAGAACTTACCCCGGGTCGCCTAATATTCCTGTCACGACATCTCAGGCGAGAACTACGTATGCCTACGCATATGCATATACTAGCCTATTTTGGAGTAAGCCTGATATCAATACTAATATCAATAATTAGTATTAATCCATTTAGCATCTTCTACATTTAGTTTGTTATACGAATTTTAATGAATATCATGATTATTACTGGTTGCGTGTATGTACTATCGTTGTCGCCCGGGGCTGTCGTGGCAGATTGCAGCCCCTGGAGCGATTTGTCTATCCAATAAACATAATACCTTAGATAAAAGTCTCAACTCGAAAAGCTATGAGTCAGTCCAGCCAGTTCCTAGGACCGTGCTCGTATTACTATAAGTAGTAGATTAAACTGTGAGTCATGAGGATAATTTCTGACTTATGTATTCCCCAATCTAGTTCTCGAAGTTTGAATTGATGGCTCGGAGAATTCCGGTTTGGTTTCCCTACTGCAACAAGGTTTAGACAAATCAAAGAACCTATAACTAGCGGATAACCTCTATCAAGGTAAGAATGTACTAACTAGCATGTACTGTGCTAATTTCATCTACTTGTGAGAGTCGGAATAAGTCGCTCGGCTGACTGCAAGATATAACTAAATTTTCTATCGCTGTCGTCAACATAAATGAAAGAGACGGCACTTGATTGCGATGATTGTTAGCCTCGAAAGGAGTGAACGCCAACTCAGGCGCAGGCTTGGACGCTGGACTTTGAGAGATAGACATGGAACAGTGTGACACTGCTAGCTTCTCACTACCATGTCATAGCGATAATAAAACCACAGCGTTGTATCTTTGAAAACTTGGCTTGGAGTTCCCCACTTAGTCCCCTGCTACGCTGCGAAGGACTAATGTTAGTAATATTGATGCCTTAATATGCCTGAATATTTGTCGGCAGAAAGTATTAATACCCGCACCCATACAAATCGTGGGGTTCGAAAATTGTTGAGAATATGGTATGAGAGGATTCAACGGCTAGAAACGGGAGATTTTAAAGATTTGTGTGGTGAGAATAGCTTCAATATTACCCGGGAGGGAGGCTTCCATTGGGAGCTTTTTTACAATACATTACAATACACTGTAAGGCCGGTGCGGCATATAATCAGGCACCTTCAGGCATTAAAGTTAATTTGCGTACGGGGTGGCTAACTAAGTACTTTTTGTATTGGTAAGTCATACAAAAAATACTTAATTTAAATTTTGCGTTTGCTGGGGCGCGGGTAGGTGCATTGGGCGTTTGGCGCTTGGCACGGCTAATGGATGCTCAGAACTACAACATACCTGGGTAGTTGTCATATAACTACCCTGTCTCTAACTACCATATAGTTATTCTATCTAAGTCCAACTGTCAACATCTGCTATTTATTATATACATTTGAATACAGTCAGATTTCTGTTACATTCAACCTTAGACTTTGACAATTTCCCTATATTTCAAGGCGTCTCCTTATTGCACGAAGTATAAAAGTAAGGATATAGGTAGGTAAAGGCCTTATTAAACCGGAAGATGTACCGGCTTAAGAAAGAGAGATGGTTTCATCTTTGAATAGTTCAAGAGCAACGGCCGGTCGATCACGGTATATTAATAGAGGCATGTAATGTATTTGATGGAGGTATACGAGGTATAGAAGGAATTGAATTAGGATACAAATTGAACCTTGGAAATCAACTCGAATGTTTCGCGGGAGCGGTGAGAAACCGCGGTCAGTCAGTATCCAATAAGAGAGTTGTGTGTCCAGGTGGGATATTTTGTCGCCCGTAAACGTCAGTCCATCTAAAGATTCTTTCGCACCTGAAATTTTCGTGAGACAGATCTCGCCATGTTGCCAGACTTTTTGACGAGTCAGTATCTTCAATACAAAACAGATACTGACATTGTAGCCACATGGCTGGCAAGTACTGCAAAACGATGTGGCCTCGACGTGGGCCACGACAATCAAGGGCCTGTGAAAAAACCGACTGGGGGTCGACTCAAAGGGAAAGCCAGGAAGGCTGCTAAAGCTCCACCAAAGCCCACCCCACCCAATGAGAACAGCAAAATCCCGAAGAAGCCCAAGTACACCATCACTGTCAAGCAATTCACGAGCTTTGCGGAACATATCGCCAGATACGACAACCCCCCGTTGGGCCTGTGGAGGTCTCCCGAGGCTTCAGTCTTGCCCTCAACCGTGCCATTTCTGCACGCCGCGAATTCGGAAAACATGGAGTCGAGGGGTCGAACAAGGCTGCCGAGAGCCACGGATTCTTCGTGGACGTCCTTGAACGTGTCCGTGAAACCCTGCGCCCACTAATGCCCAAGAGGCAAGCGGATACTCGGGGAGTCGAGAAAGATGAGAAGTTACTGGCCAATAGATTCGATCGTCTTGAATTGGAAGAACAATCGGAAGCCTTCCTCAATGCACCTGATGCTCCTAAACCAGAGGCACCAGAGAAACCTACAGGTCCCTCGGCTCCAGATGTCGAAGCGGAAGCCGACCTTGAAGCCGAGGTTGATCTTGACCGTGATGAGATCATTTTCATGTTCCACCTCTTGGTCCTGGATGCAAACTGCTTCATGGATGTTATCAAAAAGACATGGAGGGGATACAAAATTGGCCTTGTGGACCTTGTACCGGCTTCTATGACTACCAACACCGCTATCGATCTCCTCCGGCGCATGGAAGAGGAAATGAAGCCTGCCCTTGATAAGGTTGGTGGTGCGGAAAAAAAATCCTTGAGGCATACTTCGCTGCCCGCTGTTTGCAGATTGGGGAAGATCCTGACTACAAAGAAAGGCCCCGTGATGCCCTTAACTTCAAAGTTTACGATCAAACGCAAGACATTTTCGCCACAGCCTGGCAGCTTCTCCGGTCTTTCACGGCAATATGCGACCGGGACAACGCTCCAATTTATAAACCGGGCTTTTATGGAACCTACGACCCTAAAAGCGACCGCGAATCGATGCCAGCAAGGGAGAAGTTCGCTGAAGATATGCAAATCTTAACGGAGGCATTTCCCGAATTTTTCATCCTCGGACTCTGTACTAGGGAGAATTTTGCCGAAGATGAGCTGTCGCGTGGTCTCAAGGTGGCTTTCGCTACTAAAGAACATCCATTCTGGCTGGTGTTTTCCGTGCAAGTCTTCCTAAACATCCATCATGTCCTACGTGATGGGGTTTCTCGGGCATTCTCCGAGCTGCAGCGAAGCACGCTGACTATGCGTAATTCTATTGAGTCGACTCTTAAGATGCACGAAAAGCTCCGCGTCGAGAACTGGCCTCGAGAAAATGATAGAATATTGCGAGAAATCCAAACAGATATGGATTATTGGTGCGGAGTGGATCCATTGCAGATCGAAAAGAGACGCCTAGGTCTACCTACTGGGGAAACGTTCCGTCTTTTCCAATGGCATCCTTTGTTCTGTGGCTTGTTACTCTACCGCTTCAAAATGTTGTATCAAGAGGCAGGGATTATTTTTGTCGGGGCCTGGGGTTCCGTATTGTACTCGCTTCATCTGTACAACGCTCTACGGCAGGAAAAATTGTTAATAGCGCGATGGGCTGATCTGGACATGTTGCAAGCAATACACCCAGAAAGCTGGGTTGGCGAGCCTCCACGAACCCCGGATGAGTACATCAAACGGTTTTGCCTCAGTATGGGATACTCCGCGACAAACTTTGCTAAGAACCGTCGGAATCAACGTCCCCAGGCCTCGAAGAACGGACCCAAGTGCCTGACAGAGCAGGGAGCTGTTGCTCTCATGTTTAAGAAACGTTTTTGCCATGGCTCCAAACAAATTGACATGACACGGGCAGATCTACAAACCATTGTGGACAAAGCCCAGTGGGGAGCAGATATTGACGGGGACAGCCCCCATGGCATTTTGAACGACGTTGTCCCGGATCTTACTAGGAACCCCTCACAAAGGAGTCAGGGCCATCAATCCTATGAATCTACGTCCGCAGAAACATTGCTTCTTAAACTCCAGCTCGCCTTACAAGGCGAGGTGCCAGAAATTACGTTCGACTATTTCGTCACGCACCGGACCTGTTGGCTGCTTCTGACTAATATCAAAAAGGCCTGTGAAGACCAGCTTCGCGAACTCTTCGGGACAGGCTGCATTGAGAAGGAGAGCCAATTGCCCTGGATGATTGGCTATATTTTCCTTGCGGCAAGTGGTGTTGACCATGCAGCGAATATGGCTTCCAAGAAGCTGCCTGGCCATGTGACATCCAAGCTGATGGTCACCGCTGCTACAGTTCTTGATTCCATGTTAGCATCGGGAATGGGGGCTTTGACATGTAAAGTTTTGCGCGATTTCCATGGTATCCACGTCAACGAGAATTCTGATTCTGAATGAAACGCGGAAACTGGGTGAGAGAGGCCTGGGTTGAGTCGCTCATACTACGATGTGGATAATTGAGCTGTCTCCGTATCATCTCTCTCTACAAATTAGCTGCATCGATCAAGTTCGATAGTCCTTAGCAGTCGATGAGTATGATCCATAAAGGACAAAGCAATACCATAGTCTGATATTTCACTGTCAGTGAATTGATTACTCGTATTTCCCAGGGCCTCCCTCTAGTGACCCGGCTTACAAGCCGCTCGAGTCTATATTCCAACGTAGACGTAAAATCATTATGAAGGTAGCGGGGGCAGCTCCTTTTCAAGAGCCGAGTCCTTGGAGGGTAGCACCACTGGGGTTTTTGATGCGGGATGCCCGTCCTTTGACACCTGAGACGAAAGCGACTGGGAGGCATCAAGCTCATAAACTTTGCAGTCAACATCCCCAGAATACAACTCGGAAATTTGGTGACCAGGTCCCGCATCCAATTCAGCAAACTTTGATGGCTCTTCAGCACCTAGCTCAAATGGCTCCTTGTGCAGATCAGGTACTTGAGCAGGCAGCTCAGCGACCTCTTGCTGACTATCCTGCTTACGATAGTCAGCTATAGAGGCCACTGGTGACACCTCGCCCTCAACCCCAAATTTAAACCTGTCCGAATTCAGGAGTCGCATGAGAGGCTCTGTATCAGGCGGCGGGACAATCTTTCCACTAAGAAGCTCCTTGGCCGTCAACGTAACGCCATACATCTTCTTATTCGCCTCGGGCCGCTCCCCGATCATCCCACCCTCAAAGGACTTCCCGCCAAAGATACCCCTTGACTTCGAGTACGCAAACATGCCCACCATTCCTTTCGAACTGATCGCACCGCCCAGCTCCGCGCTTCGTCCGTACGGACCCAATGCAACGGAGAGATTCTTACCAAGAGTGACGGCCCCTGATTGGGTGAATGTTTTGACAGCTTGCTCACTGTTCAACACGAAGACGAAATCTGTCATTTCAAAGCCTAGCTGGGTGCCGAGGCCGATGCCGCCCGTTGCCATGGCTGACGGGGCGGACCAGGTGCCGTCCGGAAGTCGAGCGACGATGAGACCCGATCCGAAACGCATTGAAGCTAGGGCGCCTGCTTTCACAGCTGTGAAAATGACTAGGGCCTGTTGGACATGAAGAAATATTAGCTATGATTATGTTTTTCATTCTTAATGACCATTTGCGGACCTTTGCATCGGAAAGGATTGCGCGTGGGATGCCTAGCTCTGGCTCCTCCAACTTCGATTTCGATTTGCTCCATTTTGGGGGCTTCACGAATGAATTTAGAATCTTCTCTGCTTTCTTACACTCGTCTAAGCCAGATGGATCATTGATTAGTCTCAACCGGCAACCATGTGAAGTGGGACACCTACTGTACAGCGAGGAAGGCAATGGGTTATTTAACTTCTTCTGCATGGTCTAACTAGTCTCGCTAGAAGTTCTCACACTGGAGGTCAATACCTTGCTCTCTGCTATATTTGGAATCTTGGCGTGGAAGATTTAGACGTTTTCACTGCGCGGCGATTGACGCTTGCTTAGGAAGCCTAACTAATCAGCAATCTGGATAAGCTATCAAAGGACTAGCCGATAATCTGGTGATGGCGGAAATTTGAGAGAATCATTTGCATCAAGAGAGCTGTGGGTGGTGAGGGGTTGAAGCGGGCCAGTTTGAGACGGTGGATAGACAGGGGATGATGGGGGCGGGCTTTTATAGGCAAGGCTGCTGCCGATCTTGAATTGGTGTTGGCGATGGCTTCGTGACGGTCTATCTGATACATAGATCATCGCGTGTATTGCTAAAATCACACAAAATTATTTTGAGACATCAGTATGAGTTTCGGCTGTTAAATTCTAGTTCATGCTTAAGCTTGTCCACAGTGTTCCTACTACCATCTCTTACATCGATGTAGCCATATCACTACCCCACGGATAATTCTTTCTAATCCTGAAAAATAGCCCTGGAGGGTAGAATAAGTAGAATATCATGAAATCAACCAGATTTATTCTGCTAGGTATATACCATAAGCACTACCGTCCTCGTGAACCCCACTAACAATCTCACAATTTCACAACTTCACAACTATCACTCCGCTCAACAAGGGAATGATACAAATCGTTCCAAAAAAAATTGACTCTTCTCCCATTTCTTGCTTGACAACAGCGGTCTATTATCAGACAATACAATCACTGCTTCATCATGAGAAATTCAAAGGTCCGGAACGGTACCCAGAAGTAGAGGTACTTCAGCAGCAGGTAGGATTATCTAGCTTCAGCTGCTCGCCACCATAGACGCAGTAGCCATCTTCACGCACAAGGCAAGTGATTGAAAGGATCCAGCAGTGACGTTGGGACATTGTTGCCATCAAGTAGATAGTTAAGAGTTGCACACATTGTTGTCTATAGTGACTGGACATAAGTTTTTGCACCCCTGGCGCCTAGGTGGGGCTATAGGGGGTGCAAAAACTTATGTCCACTGACTGTACATGGCTGGTAATCTGATTACCAGTGAAAAGATTTTGTGGATCTATTCCTTTGACTGTCCCCAGGCGTAGATTTCTTGCATGAACTTGGTCGTCTTGTCCCAGGGCGGCGGATTCGGACAGGTTGTCGTTCTATTTCCTGGTCTAATCTCAACTGCTTAGAAATTTCTAGTCGTTCGGTTTTAGCCTGGAACTAGGCAGTGCTTAGCGTCGGCTTAATGCCTACGAGTTTCCTAGGGCGTAATTTATACTTCTTACCAGTAATATTAACCTTCTACTGACCTCCTACTACGGACTACTAGAAGCAACTAGTAAACTACCAACTAACAATCTAACATCCTAATATCCTAACGACTGCCGTAGAAAAGACGGCCGTTTCTGGCGCCAAAAGTAGTCCTTTTCGACGTCATTTTCGCAGGCCCTTATATTCTAGTTGTAATGCAAACCAATCGAATCTAAAGCTCCCTCGTAAACGCCTGCCAAATTGGACCCAAGCTACCTCTATTTAGATTTGTAATATTCCTGAGCTGATCCAGTCTTACCATCTCCCTGTATTTCGCATGGGTGGCTCTGATAGTATGGCGGAGGGTTCTCCATGGTCCTTGTATAGCCCATTGACTGCTGCCGAATCGACCGGGATTGTGCTTGTGGCGAATGCCCGTACACGTCGCTGCCATGGTTTGAGCGAGGCCCATGTGGAGGGTATGATGGTTGGACATGAGTGTTGTTCATTTGGTTGTCATTCATATGGTCCATTTGCGGGTTGTGATTAGGATAGTACTGTTTCTGGGAAGTATTTTGGCGGTTTTGCTTCTTGTCTTCGTGTTCAGTAGCTGCCCTAATTGAGGATATATGAGTATGAGAGAGACGGAAAGCGTAGAAGATCTGAAGGACGCACTTGGATGCAACTTTAATGAGGCCATAGGCACCAGCCAAGGTAAGACCAGTCTTGATAAGACCCATGCTTTAAAAGGAGGGGAGGAAGGGTTTCAGTAGAATCTAGATGATTGAAAATGTGATGGTTTGAAGACCAGTATTTGTTATTGTCACCGGAAGCTGTGTAGCTCATTCCAAAAACCACAATTGGCCCCCACACGGTTCCTTGTAACTAATTTCCAATGACTCCGCCACGGCATGGATGTCTGTGATCTTCGCTTTTCTTGTTGGGTAGAACTGTGGGGCGAAGTGCTATAGTCGCCAATCTCGCTGTCTCGACATTCATACAACACTGGGGGCCAACCCTAGCGTACTCCGTAAGGCTGTGTGATATGGTAATTATATTCTCAGCCCCAACCATGCCTAACCCAAAACAGAAGGCCCTAAGGCTTAGTTATTATGTCGCAGTAAAGATCTACATACGACATAGGGAAGTTATAAATAAATTCTTCTAGTAAATCCTTCTGATAAATCCTTCTGATAAGGCTAGGGTTGGGCTTAAAAGGCTGGAAAACACCCACCTCCCAACAACTCCAGAATCGCATTGTCTCTCATCTCAAGCAATAGACCTCCTACAGGATCTAAATTTTATCCAGCACAAATTGTCGCGAAGCTACTATTCACATCATGCCAAACTCAACCGAAGGCCTGGAGCTAGCCGAGATAATCTTCTATGCTATTGCAACTATTCCTGCCTTTTATTGCTTCGCTAAACACGGCAAGCATGGATTACTCGGCTGGCTCTATGTGATTGTGATGTGTGGACTGCGCTTGGTTGGAAACAGCATGGCTTACCATGCCATGTCTACAACTGGACATCCCAATATGACTGCCTCCATTATTAATGGAATCGGTCTTTCGCCGCTTTTGATGGCAAGCCTGGGCCTCCTTAATGAATCGTACGTCCTGGCCGCGGAGCTTTTTATGAAAAAATGAAAATGGAAGCTGACTTGTCATAGGAATCATTCTATTCAGCGAACACTCCCCGCGTTCCTCGGGGGTTTTGGCCTCCTCATCCCTCATCTGGTTATTGGCGCTGGAATTGGACTTGCGGCTGCTAGCAGCAAAAATTCAACCTTGCTTGAAGTCGGCCTGGTGATCTTTGCCATCGGGTGGCTCATCGTGGTAGCATTTACCTTCATTTCTTGGAAAGCAAATTCCGCTTCTCTCCGACTTGATGACGAGAAAAAGGTATGACATTGATGAAAATATCCCCCTTCCTACAAGAATACATTGGCTGATAATTATATTAATAATAATAAAGATACTCCTTAGTGTCATGATTGCTATGCCTCTAATTGGTGTTCGAGTTATCTATGCAGTTGCCAGTACATTTGCCAGTCAGTCAGCCTCCGGAGGCAGCTTGCCAGTGCGTGTCATCCTCGGCACTCTCCCCGAGTTCCTGGTGATGGTCAACTATTTAACAGCCGGAGTGGTGACCCGGCACTTGCCTCGCAATCGCGTGGAACAAGTTCCTGAGCCGACGTACAACACAGCCTATATCTCTGTATGAGGCTGTCTTGAACGTCTCCTCTTTTTTATGATGCCTGTTTCTAGCGTGGTCTTTGTTTTATAATATATGATTTATTCCCCTCAGTTCTTTGAGAAAACCACGAAAAGGTAGTATAGCTCTATTTGGCGAATTAGTTGTGCTGAGCAAAAATAAAACCGAAACACAAAGTGGCCTAGGAGCCTTAGCCTTCACTCAAATAATGTTACTACCGGTAACTAACTAGTTCTTCTTTAGAGAAGCTGTTAGTTTATTAATACTATAGTGTACAGTGTCCTAGTTTCATCTTGAGTATTCTCCTTGGATCAGATACATCAGATACCTTATCTACAAGTGTCTTGCCCTAATTCCCGATGCGGAAAATCGCCGCTCTAGCCAAAGGCTGTCCAACGTACTTTTTTTGAGGAAACTAGACCCGGTGTACCTGAACGGGTACCTGCACAATATTGTGTAACTTTTGACATCGTAATAGTAGTAATAACTCACCCGGTGAGAGAATACGATCAATGGGGAAGTGTCCTCCGAGTGTATATGTAACCTAGAGATGTATAACTAGTTAACTATATATAGCTTCCAAGTTCGAAATAACCTTGTAGCACAAAGCCTCCGAAATATTTATTTGGAAAGCTTTGAAGATAACTGAATTAATTCTTTTTAATTCTTTTTAATCTTATTTTATTTATTAAAAATAAGAAATATAGTCTGTTATAGAGACAGAGGGAGTATGTTTTAGTCTGAAAACAGCTGGACCTGCGGATCCGTTCCCGTCTCCACATCCCCACTGGAGCTTCAAGTCCAATGCTACTTGAAATGTAAGTATATGTGCATTTAATGAGATTGAAATAACTGAAAATAAAAAAAAAGAACCCACTTTAAAACAAAAAACAAGTTAAAAAACCCGAAGGACAAAGCGTTGAGGGGTTGATGTCACATGTTGAGAGGCCCCCGCGTTGGATTTCCTTGAATCTGGACCATCTTCTCTCCTCCCCAGCTCTCCCCCAGCTCTCCCCACCAGATATGTCTTCTACCATTGACAACTCCAACATTCCCACCGACGGCACAGGTAAGTGTGAAATTACCTACATTTTCAAGTAGAATAAAGTCTAACCAAAAAATAAGGTGTTATCCAGCTAGATCCTTGGCTGGAACCCCATCGCGATGTCTTGAAGCACAGATATCAGGTAGTCGAGGAATGGGCCAAGACTATCAATGAAACAGAGGGTGGCTTGGACAAGTTTAGCAAGGTCAATTACATCCCCATTGATTGCTATCCTCTAAACTAATACACTGATCAGGGCTACGAAACCTTCGGACTACATGCACAACCCAACGGAGAGATCAAATACCAAGAATGGGCACCAAACGCAACGGAGGCTGCTTTGGTCGGCGAATTCAGTACGTTCTATACGAGTCATATTTGATGAGCTTGACTGAGACTCGCAGACAACTGGGACGTCAATGCCAACCCCATGACGAAGAACAGCTTCGGCATCTGGAATGTAACGGTACCAGCAAAGGACGGCGCTGCCGCTATTCCCCACGATAGCAAGATCAAGGTAAGCACATCAACCCTGTTATACATCAATGGAACACCCCACTAATAGCCCCATAGATCACAATGGTGCTCCCTAGCGGCGAGCGCATCTACCGAATCCCCGCTTGGATCAAGCGCGTAGTCCAAGACCTGACCGTGTCGCCTGCATACGATGCCGTTTTCTGGAACCCGCCCGCGGAAGAGGTATATAAGTTCCAGCACGCGCGGCCCAAGAAGCCCGAGAGTCTGCGCATCTACGAGGCGCACGTCGGCATCTCGTCGCCGGAGACTAAGGTCGCTACGTACAAGGAGTTCACAAAGAACATGCTCCCCCGCATTAAGTATCTGGGATACAATGCAATCCAGCTAATGGCAATCATGGAGCATGCGTACTATGCTAGCTTCGGGTACCAGGTGAACAACTTCTTCGCGGCGAGCAGTCGCTACGGATCCCCAGAGGATCTGAAGGAGCTAGTTGATACAGCCCACAGCTTGGGGTTGGTTGTGCTGCTTGATGTGGTTCACAGCCATGCTTCTAAGAACGTCATTGATGGCATCAATGAGTTCGATGGGACGGATCACCTCTACTTCCATGGCGGTGCCAAGGGCCGTCATGAGCTGTGGGATAGCCGTCTGTTCAACTATGGAAGTCATGAAGTTCTACGTTTCCTTTTGAGTAACCTTCGCTTCTGGATGGAAGAGTATGGATTCGATGGATACCGGTTCGATGGTGTGACCAGCATGCTCTATACGCACCACGGTATCGGAACGTACGTGCATCCTTCTACTGTATTTTAGAAGAGCCTGCTAACAACAAAGAAACAGTGGCTTCTCCGGTGGGTACCACGAGTACTTCGGACCATCCGTCGACGAGGAGGGCGTAACATACCTCACCCTCGCAAACGAGATGTTGCACGAACTCTACCCAGACTGCATTACAGTCGCAGAGGATGTCTCGGGCATGCCTGCACTGTGTCTACCCCACAAACTAGGCGGTGCCGGCTTCGACTACCGTCTCGCAATGGCCATCCCAGACATGTGGATCAAGCTCCTGAAAGAAAGCACAGACGACGAGTGGGACATGGCCAACATCTCCTTCACGCTCACCAACCGACGCCATGGCGAGAAGACCATTGCCTACGCCGAGAGCCACGACCAAGCGTAAGTCCAAATCCGCGACCACCTCCAACCCCGCCCAATGCATGCAATCAACCAAAACTAACAAAACATCACAGCCTCGTCGGCGACAAGACCCTAATGATGTGGCTCTGTGACAAAGAAATGTACACGCACATGTCCACACTAACGGAATTCACTGCCGTAATCGAGCGCGGCATGGCCCTCCACAAAATGATCCGACTCGTAACGCACGCCCTCGGCGGCGAGGGCTACCTAAACTTCGAAGGCAACGAATTCGGACACCCGGAATGGCTGGATTTCCCACGTGCCGGAAACGACAATTCCTTCTGGTACGCTCGACGCCAACTAAACCTAACCGAAGACCCTCTTCTACGGTACAAGTTCCTGAACGAGTTCGATCGCGGGATGCAGTTGGCCGAGCAGAAGTACGGATGGCTTAATGCGTCGCAGGCGTATATCAGTTTGAAGAATGAGAGTGATAAGGTTCTTGTCTTTGAAAGGGCTGGGTTGCTTTGGATCTTCAATTTCAATGCCAAGGAGAGCTTTACGGATTATCGTGTTGGCGTTGATGTCCCCGGTACGTATCGCATTGTGCTTGATACTGATGAGAAGGTTTTCGGTGGGTTTGGGAGGAATGTTAAGGAGACGAGGTTCTTTACTACTGATATGGGGTGGAATGGGAGGGGGAATTTCGTGCAGGTTTATATTCCTACCCGGACTGCTTTGGTATGTTTTCTCTTCCTTTCTTTCTTTCTTTCTTTCTTTGCTTTTCATCTGTCTTTCGTTTTGCGTTGTTTGGTTTGCTGACTTTATCTGTTTACAGGTCCTGGCTCTGGAAGATACTCTGTAATGTGAACGCCAATCCATGTTTTGTGTTTTGCACGCGGCCGAGTCGGAGATTCAATATCTTGTACTGGTTAATACTAGTTCTGGGTGTTGTTCTTCGAGTGTGCTTGATGCGACTTCTTCGTTGTGTAATGTCCTGCATTTTGTTTCTAATTACAGCTATCTATGCCTAGCTATCTCATATTATATACACTGTTTTTTAACGCATTCGCCATCGTAGACTGGACAGAGAGAGCTTAAGGAAGATAATGTGTTGCACGCTTCTCTGTAGGGTAGGTAGAATAGAAAGATCATCTCAATGGTTCATTTGAAAGGGAAGAGAAATGATCCGAACGAGCTACATGCAGACAAGACCAGCCTGAATGATTGAGAGAACTGGCTATAGAGATGGATGCACATCCATATATCGCGAATCATCCATGAAGTACACCTACACCTACCTACACACATCTACACACTACGCAATCTACAAAACCCAGGACACAATCACAAAGGAAATGTCGAGAATCAGGTTTTGAACTCTAAATACACAAAATAATGAAACATGCCGGTCGAGGGGGGGTTTGTGTAAGGTATCTCCAATCCAGACCGGCTTTAAAAATCCCATCAACTCGCTAAGATAGACAAACGCATATCAACCTCCCCCAAACCATCAACTAACTCCCCCAACTCCTCATCCTCCAATCCCCAACACCACGATTCAGCCCTCAGTAATCCCAGTCATTTCATATTCCCTTGCTCGGGTTCCTTTCGGATCGAGTCTAGAAAGAACGAAAACAAGGATATTCCAACGTTGAACGACGACGATGCAGTGCAAAATGGAAGTGAAATCAAATCCCTTTCTTCGTTGCATTGTTTTTCTCTTAGATCGGGTAATGTACATTGTAATATACACGCCTCGAAAAAGGGAAAATGATGTTGTCGCGTACAACGTTGGAACATTTGGAGTGTTCTAACAAAGGGAATTAAAATGAAAACCGGGAGAACCAATAGAGAATAGGTGAGGGATAAGAAGGGGGGAAAAAAGGAGAGAAAGAGCTTGAAGATAGATGGGGGAAGTTAATACGGCGCTAGCTAGCAAATGACAAAATTACATTTAGGCCTGGTTCTCAAGCTCGGCGAGAATCTTCTCACCCTTGGCGCGAGCGGAGTTCATGTCACCAACCATGTAGAAGGCGGCCTCGGGGAGGTCGTCACCCTCACCAGCAATGATGGCCTTGAAGGAGGAGATGGTGTCCTTCAAGTCAACAAGGGTACCCTCGATACCAGTGAAGACCTGGGCGACGGCGAAGGGCTGGGACAGGAAACGCTGGAGCTTACGGGCACGCTCGACGGTGAGCTTATCAGCCTCGGACAACTCATCCATACCGAGAATGGCAATGATATCCTGGAGGGACTTGTACTCCTGGAGCATCTGCTGGACACGGGTGGCGGTGTTGTAGTGCTCGTCACCGATGATACGGGGGTCGAGCATACGGGACTT